ATAAAAATGCATATAAAAAGTAAATGAATAATTCCTATTGCCTTAAAAAGCTAACAGAATCTACAGTAACTTATCTCTATTATCATAAATATTTTTATGATGTTATATTAATCTTATTTTTGTGGCGGTATTTGTCTTAAGAAATAAATATTTAATGCATTTCTATGTAAGACTGAGGACTGAAAGCGTGTTTAATGTAATGATAACTCTATTGTGTTTGTGAAGTGAAAACGCTATTAAGAAAATGAAAAATTATTTCAATTATCAAGAGATACGAGAAAGCGCTCACAAAAAGTTAAACCATTTTCTCAGCTAAAGAATAACAGGAACACTAAAAATCAATAAAATCTTTATTGTCTTCAAAGTGTCTCAAATTATTTAACCATTAGCCAGTTAACTTTAATGGTTTACTAAAGTTAACTTTAAGAGTTTTTAAAACCAAGTATTAAATAGACTTTTATTTTCTCTAAATTGTGAATAACTTAAACTAAAAATTAATAAATTAATATTAATTTTAAAAATATGATTTATGTTACGTGTTATAACCAATTAGGTGATCATGACATACCTGTTGTTGTTGTTGCTGTTGCTGTTGTGGTCTCTGTTGCTGTTGTGGTGCCTTAGACGGATCGGGTGGACCGGGCGGTGCTCCGGTGGCAGACGGAGGTCTGGCCTGAGGTCTGCCCTCCTCGAGCTGTTGGGCACTTTGCGTGTTTCTTCGGGAACCACTACTTTGTGCGGCTCTGAGAGCACTATTCAAAGAGACACATCATTACAACCATTCACTCAGTCATGACACCAATGGGTTGCATACTTTTGCATTTCTTGGATTTGCTTATTTAAGGCAAACTTCTCTTCCTCGGAGTTCGACATAATCTTCAGGAGTCTCTCTAATTCCGATTGAATACTATTCGACTCATCCTTACTCTTCTGCATCTCTTTCAGGATCTGTTGTTTGTCTTTCTCCAAAGCGTCGCACTTTTTGCGCAAATCCGTGACAATGGCATCGCTGGTGGTCGCGGCCGCACCGGAAGCCTGTTTCAGGGCGTTCTGCAGCTGTACCTCCATTTGGTCGATGTCTGTCTGACGCTTCTTAAGCAACCTCTCCGTCTCGTCCAAAGACTTTGCCTTATCGTCCAACTGTTTGCGAAGCGCCTGGAGTTCAGTGTTTTGTTGAGCCGTTTGCTGCTGAAGTCCTTTCGCTAATTGCTGTTTAGACGACTGCAAGTCGTGCTGTAGTTTCACACAAAAAACAATTCATTAATTCATTGTCACATAAATTGTGAGAAAAAATTGTGCAAAAAACTCAGATAAGGAATCAAATGAGGAAAACATAACAGAATATTCTGTGAAATTCGGCACAATTACTACGAAACCCATTGGAAATGGAGTATTGATTGGAAATAATTGTTTAAATAAATAAAGTGCTATCAAATCAGACACTAATTAATTGAAGCGAAACACAAATACAAATAAATGTCACGAAATTAACATAAAATTGTCGAAACAAACAGTGAATGGGAATCGTGTTCAACAAAATGCTCATCAAATTTGTAAAATAAAACAACAAATTAAATAAGAAAACACATCCAGAATCTAAATGAACCTGTGGTTCAACATAACAAATGTATACAAAATCTATAAGAATAAGGATTTTCTATAAGACATAAAAAGGTAAAAATAAAACCAATTTTTGAATAAACGAATCAAATTATAACCAAAAATCGTAATCAAAACCAAATAAAACAATCGATAAATAATGGATTCAAAGGAGTGAATGCAGTCATAGACTGCGGGATGGGATGATATGTCACCTCCTTTTGTGCCAATTCGTTGACAATCTTCTCCAACTGAGTCTGGAAGCGATCCCTTTCGATGGCACAGGTCTTGATGTCCTGCTGGGCCTTCTCGAGCTGTTTGCGCAACTGTTCCGACTCTTGCATCCACTTCTGGGTCTCCGAGCGCTGTCTCTCCAACTCAGCCCTCAGTCTATTGACCTCTTCAACAATTTTTGCGCTGTCGGGGCCGGACTTGGCGGCCATCTGTTGCTGGAGTTGTTGCTGCTGTTGCTGCTGGACCTGGACCTGACCCTTGAGCGCCTGGTTCTCTGCG